CTCCCATCACATCGAGGTCTTGCTACAGCTCTTTCAGCAGAACACAGCTTGCAGAGTGGTGGAAATGAACACAGCGGCTCAGAAATAAATGACACACAGCTTGTAGCAAACATTTCTCCTGCTGCTGTCTCCTTTAATATGTGGAGTTCATGCCTTGTATCTAAGCAACTTCTATCTCTTGATTTGTGATTGACAGACCATTTTTGCTGCTGCCACGTCTGGGTGTGGATACTGACAGTTCTCCACTTATCTTATTTGGCCAGCTGTTTGGAGAGTATAGATGGTTTGAAAGAAGCAAGAGCAGCCCCACCTTTCTTATACATAAACTTCCTCCTTTCCTTGACCTTGTTCAGGGTTGAGAAGCTGGCTTGTACAACATGGCTGTCCCATCAGTATCGGGCTGTAGGATGTTCCTGGGGCACAGCATCCTGCTGAAGCTGTGCTCCTCTGTCAGCAGTAGCTGCAGCCAGGGTTCAGGCACACTTCTAGGCGGGAGTGAGTTTCGGAATGAATATGCAGTAGGATGGCAGGTAATAAATCATCTGCAATGAAAACAAAGACTGAACCAAGCAGTCCCAGAAGCTATATGGAGGCAATCTGTCCGTCATCAGCCCGCAGGTTATAGCCCAGGTGTTAACAGGGCAGTATATTTATTACCTCATTATTATTTGCAGTAAGTCAATCCAGCCTTTAATTAATGCCCTCTCTCCCAGCCATTGGCCACAATGCTTTCTTGGAGCATATGTTTATGAAACTACATACTGTGCTCAGAGGGAAATTCAGAAGTGTCTGTATGAAGCCTGCCTGGCATCGTGTCATGGTTTGGGCCCAACATGACAAGACAACAAAGGAACAGCCCCACGGCCGCTCACTCAACTCCCCTCACACACACACTCTGGGATGAGAAGGACAAAGCTCCTGGGTCGAGACAAAGCACAAGGAGGGCTCTTCACTGATTAAGGTCCTGGGCAAAGCAGACTCAACTTGGGGAAAAAATAGTAATTTAATTTCACATTAATCAAACACACACAGGACAGACAACACAAAGAGCAGGGCTTGCATATGTCACCCCACCCCTTCCTTCTTCCCGGGCCCAAATCCCTTTGTTCCTGGTCTCTCTCGCTCCTTCCCCCCAGTGGCACAGGGGGACAGGGGATGGGGTTTGGAGTCACTTCACAGGCTGGGGGTTCCTGCTGCTCCTGCCTCCTCAGGAAGAAGGATTCCTTACAGTCCTTCCCTGCTTCCCCACGGGGTCCCTCCCATGGCAGAGAGTCCTCCATGAACCTCTCCTTCCTGAGTCCTTCCCACGAGGTCCAGAGCTGCTCCAGCCTGGGCTGCCCACAGAGTCACGGGATCCTTCGGGAACAGCCACCTCCCCTGGTGCCGGGGTCTTCCAAAGCTGTGTAATGAGAATCCACAGGCACCAAATCCTCTGGCCACACAATCCAAGTCCAGTGGCCAAGTTCACCCCTCCTGGCACCTTCAGGGAATGTTCCACCATGTTCCTCCCTGAGTGCAGGGGCACAGCTGCCATCTCACCAGGGGTTGCAGGGAAACTTCTGCTCGGGCACCTTCTTCCCATTCTTCCTCACCAACCACCAGCACTGCTCCCCTTCCCCAGCACCCCTCTCCTCCTCCAGCACAGCTCTTCTCCCGCCAAGCCCTTCTCTGCTCAGGTGTTACATCGGTTCTTTCAAGTGTTAGTCACTGAGGTGCATCTATTGTCCCTCTAATGGCTCCTTGACAGGGTTTGGAGCAGGGGTTGCTTTTCTGGTTCTTACCAGAGCTACTCCTGGGCCCTTTCCCCACTACCAAAAATCCCACCAAACCAAACCAGAACACATCCTAACTACTACTGTGAAAATTTCTGGTGCACATGGCTGATGGTCTGAGACTTACCAGAATGCTGCCTTGTCACATGCCTGGTAGTTTTGATCACTGAATTCTTCTTTAAGATTGTGTGAGTGTATTGACATAAATCCTACTGCCTTTCCGCTCCCTTTTCTTTAAGTGGCAGCTTTTATTTAAGATGTTTTTGTCTGCTCCTCAGTTCCTTCTCAGCAGAAAAGTAGCTGCGTGCACTCTCATGAGATGCAGCTGATATGGATATGCTCTGAACTGCAATGATGCAGTTGTAAAAAAACACCTCCCACTTTCCCAGAAAAAAAATATATAAAAAAATCTCCCTCATGTAGAATGTGCCAATTTGTCCTGAATGTGCTTTTAAACTGAAATTCAAATGTGAGTTACCGGGATGCTCATATTCTCATTGATTCTGACGCGATTTTCTGACAAAAAATCAAAATTTGGAGCAGTGACTTCTGCTTTCCTAAATTCAATTTTAAAAGTAGTATCTCAGTTTCCTAGGGGACATAAGAGAAAGTTTGAAATTAAAAGTACCATTAAATGCACATTCCTCCAAACCAATGCTTTCCACTTTGTTTCTGTAGAAATGCAGGAAAGGATGTCTGGATCAGGACTTGTATTAATATGGCAGATTTTAGTCCAGAAAAATTAGATTTTGGGATTTAAAGCTGAAGAACATCAGGGGTGATTGGAGAAAGCTCTCATGACTGAACGATGAAGGAAAAACTTAGCCTGTTCCATTGTAGCAGGGCTGTTATCTCTGTCATCATTGGCACTGAGTACCTGGTAGGGCATCAGTGGCCAGGGGAGCAGGGCCGGGAAGAGCTGAGGGCCCCTTTGCTCCCATCTGTGTCCCTCTGGTTAGAGGAACATTCCCCTGAACTCCTGGTGCTCCTCCACTGCTCCTGCTTGGAGTGTGCACTCCGTGAGAGTCCACTGAGATCAGTGGTTACATGTGGTGACTTTACCTGTATGTGGATGATATAACAACCTCTAACTCATTGAATCAGATGGTGTTTTGGGGCTGAGGGATTTTTTTTTGGGGGGTTGGTTTTTTTCTTTTACATCAAATCTCTTAAACAAGAACATTTTTAGTTATTTGTTACATCTTACTGGAACTATTTCTTTTTGCCTTCCTAATCAACCCTGTTTCTAACAAGCCTTTCCAAGCTTAGAGAAATGAGTGTGTATATTTCTGCTTTATTGGTAACACATCACAGCACTTCCCTATATGACACGGGGCATGTTCAGTTTTTCCCAGACAATATCAGTCTGTCATTCTTGGAGAGGATACTGTAAGTATAATCCATCCAGAGACGCTCGTCCAGTTTCC